CAGGTGTGCTAGGCCAAGATTTCAGACCGTCACAAATCAACAGAGATGCCCGTTGTAAATAAGAGGCCCTTGGGGGGCTCCGGGGAAGAGAGGAGAGGTGGGGGAGAGCTCCCGACTCCGCACATGAAGCAGCAGCAGAAAGAGCCCGTAGAGCGCCACCGCTTTCTCTTCGGCAGGACCCCAGAGGTCCCAGTGGAGGAGGGCACCGTAATTCTTCACGATGACCCCCCCAGGATTGCCCGTTGGCTGGCACAGAGCTGAGCGCCTGTGGCTGAGCAGGAGTGGGCAGGGAGGACTTCCCGGGCAGAGTCAGCCCTGTGCTGTCGAGCTTCATGCCCCCCGCCGTCCGCAAGGGCGCTCACCTGGCTGCGGTTGAAGGGCCGGGGTCCCCTGTAATTTCAGCTGTCCCCGCACTTCCGAAGTGCTGGGCCAAGACGCCCTGGTCCTGGTGAAGTGACGGATGGCAGAGTGGTTTATGGCAACACGGTAAATGTTTTGTCCGAAATCTAGGGGGGGAGGCGAGGAAGATACCCCCGTTACAGAGGAGGAGCTACAACAAGGCCCCTGAACCGGGCTTACATTTTCCTCAGGGGACTCAGACATTGCACAGGCAAATTAAAACAAAAAACAACCCGCAAACAAGCCAGTCAGGCGTGGCGCACAGATAGGTAGTAGGCGTCCTGGAGACAAACAGGGTGGGGTGCAGTTTGCAGGGCGGAAGCTGCCTGGTTTCGGGGCGCTGCGCAGGCTCTGGGATCATTGGCAATTGAGCTAAGGTGGGAAGAATAAGGACTCTAGCCATGGGTCAGCTGAGGGAAGAGTACTGCAGGAAAAGGGGCCGCCAGTGTGAAGGCAGAAGCAGGAACGGTTGGAAGGATCTGAGACGGGGAGCAGAAGACCACGTGGCTGCAGCGGCCCGGACAGGATGTGCCAGATCGGGGTCGGGCAGCGCGACGGAAAAGACCTCTCTGACTTCCCTGAGGTGAGAAAGACGGAAGTCACAGTCAGTGTGAATGGCAGTGTGTTCATTCTCAAGTTGGGAGGGTTGACTGGGGAACACTTTGGGGGACTGAGGGCTTATGACCTTTGTTGTCCCTGAGAAGGCCGAACCAAGCTGCTGCCCGAAAGGGAGTGGAGCGGGGGTGGAGGGGACTGGAAAGTAGTCACAGCAAATCATGACGAGTAATTAGGAGTAATTGCTATGTGGAACGAGAGGCCACAGAGTGCCGCAGCTCTAAAACGACAGTCTCCACACTGGTCCACACAGCTCTGAGGCTCTCCTCCAGCAAGGCAGTCCCCCCCCCCCCACCAACCCCCTGCCCCCCTGCCAGAGGGGACCAGGTGCAGGGGCTCCTTGGGGCCCTCGGCCCTTCCCTGCTTCCGCCTGTACCACAACCTTTGTTTCACCCACGGAGATACAAGGTTAAGTTGGGAGTAGATTTGGGTGCTCGTGGATTGGTGTCAGCATATGGGAGCCTTAGGGGACCTGACTGGGAGCACGCAGGCCTGGAAAGGCACCGGGCAGCGTGACTTGACTTGGCTGCGCCAGACTGTCACGGCACTTACTGGCCTCCCGGGGAAAGGGAGCCCCTCCTTTGGGTGACTGGCTTCAGCTTTTCTGGTGCTAGCCAGGCGGGGAGTTCGGTACCTCTCCGTGGGCATCCGTGTGGGTGAGCGGGCGCGTGTGCTTGTGGACGTGTGCCTGCACTCACGGACATTAGAACCAAACGCAATTACCTTTGTGACCAGGGGGTGGGTCTCTGGCCCCGGTCCACCCCCTCCCTCTCCTCTGGGATTTGGCACATTCAACTTGGTGCCCGTGGCCAGGGATGCAGCTGCGCGTCTGTCTGGTCCATTCGAGAATGGTCCGCGCCCCACACTAGCTAGAGATGGATGGGGGAGAGAACAGGAGAAACCACTCCCTGATTTGTAAGTCACACGAAGCCATAGTCGAACTCTGATAGGCCGATGTCATTCCTGTGTGCTGGTTCGAAGGACAGCAGCAGAGCCAAGGCAGTGAGAAAGCCGGGGACTGTGAAGGCAGACCCCAGACCTTGCTTGCACTGGTTAGGGAATCCCGGGTCACCTCGGCTGGAGGGGAGGGAGCAGCTCTGGGCCCGGAGATGATAGTCACACGAGACTTATTCAGAGTGGAAGGCCAGGTCACCTCCCCAGCCACCCTCTCTTCTCTGGGGCCCTCCACTTCCGGTTGACTTCTGAGGCCCGTCCCATCCATCCACTCCTTTAGTTCCTTGAATCTCATCCACATCAGCCCCCTCCCTCCATCTCCTGCCTCTGGCTCCCTGGTGTAACCCCGCGCGCCGCGCCCCGAGACCTCTCCTAAGACAGACATCAAAGGATGCCCTAAGAGGGTCTTCCCAAAGGGTGCTTGCTCAGACACTGTCGCTATGTCAGAGTTCGTTTCTTTGCTTCTCTCTTGTCTTCAGACTGTAAGGGGCAGGGATTGTAACTCAGCGCCACCTGCACCCCCCAGCACACTGGGGATTGTAAGTATGTTCAGTGATAACAGACAGTAGACCAAAGGGGTGTGATGAACTAAGCGTTAACTTGTTTGTTGCAGATGTGACCCAGGTCTCAAGGGCAGGCTCTGGAGCTGCTGTGGGCTGGGAAGTCATGTGTGCTTTGAAATGTCCGCTACTTGAGTGCCCAGCATCTGGTGGGCCTGGGGTGCTGGGGGCCAATGAGGAAACTCGACCTTCTGGTGCGCCATCAGTGGGTTTTCGCGATGAATGAGACACTGCATTCGCGCTGTCGAGCCCTTGCCAATGTGCTTGCTTCTCGTAAGAAAAAGCCCGGAGACTTTTCTGGGTGGTCGAGACAGAAGGACAGATGAGACTCCTACAGACACGAAGAACAAGAAACCGGCAGATGTGGCTGCAAGAAGACCTCAGTTGAGCTTGCAGAGCTCACTTGACTCGCCAGAGCTCCGTGTAGACAAGAAGGAGGTGTGTCAAGAGTGATGACGGTGGGGAGCTGGGAGAGTGGTCTCGGGTCAGACAGCAAGTTGGATTTAATCTGTCAGATTCTTATGTTGCATCGCAGCTGCCATTTTACGTGTCTTTCACCTGAGTAGTGAACCCGTGTATTCGTTAAAGGAGAAATCGTTGGCAGATGGTTGAGCGTTGGGGAATTCTGATTCTGGAATGAAACATTCCCTTTTAATTGTTGCATATACCTTTCTCGTCTTTTTGTCTCCTTGAAGCATATTTCTTCTCTTGCTCTCTGAGCGGCCAAAATGGATGCGTTGGGTGCGTTGGTTCTGTTCACAGGCCTCTATTGGATGCCTGTTGTCACTCTTCAATGTAACACCACAGCCGTAATTGATGGAGAGTTGAGCTGTAAGCTTTTAGGACTAATTGCAGAGTCTAAACTAAAACATTTCCTGGAGCTGCCTTTAAATAATAATAATAATACCTTGTATAGGTATAGTGCTTTACAATTTACAAAGCACTTCCCCATGCCTCATAGCATTTAATCTTCACAAGAAACACTGCTTTTTGAATGCTCAGATCTTTCCTAAGTGAGAGATCACGTCGCACATCCTGATTTAATCATGGTGGGTCGTCAGAAGTTTCTGATACGATAACCATTTATCGAGCACCGTCTATGCATAAAGCACTTTACTAAGGATACCAAGGGGTAAATTTCCAGTAAATAAATATCCAGTAAATAGTACCTGTCCAATAAATGTGATCTTGCTTCCTCATCACAGTCACTATTCCAGAGGCTGCTTGCTAAACCATAAACTGATATAAATATTGCCAGGCATTCATTGTATTAGAGTTTAAGCTTTTAAAACTAAGGATTCTGATACTTCTCTAAACTCCGTGATTCTTCAGAAAGTCATTCTATGGATTTCAGCTTGCACTTTCTTAAAGAACTTGCACAATTAACTTGAATCTCAAAAAATATTTCAGACATCCTGTGTATTTGAAAATGCCTAGCCGTCGCATTCATGTCCTGATTAAGATGATTAGGGTAGGATTCTAAGAGTACGACTTGGCCCTCGGCCCCAGAAGGCTTGTTATCCAGTACAAAAGAAGGCATAATCATCTCTGGGTTCTGCCAGCAGCCTGATAGGCCACGTGGAGGAGCCTGGGGGACAAAGGACTTCCCAGGAGGGAGCCGTCTGCCTGAGATGCGGGTAGAACACCGGATAACACTGGAGCTGAGCCCAGCCCCAGGACTTTGAGCCTGTGTCCAGGAGCCCCCAGAGTGTCCAGGCATATGCTCTGGGCCACCGTGGCTCCTCACAGGATCTCCAAAGAGGAGAAGACCCCCAAACGATAGGGACCTTCCAAGGCCTTGGGGCAGGGTGGTCTCTCAGAGTGAGTGACCTACCCACCGTCCCTCCTTCCCCATCGAGGGCAGGGTCAGGCCCAGAGGGCTGGTGTGGCCCACCGGGTCAGCTGGAACTCGGAAGTGGCCCCCAGGTCATCATGTCTTCGGCCGTCCTCTTGCTCCTTGTTTGGCACCTGAATTTTGTTAACTCTAGTGTTGCACGACCTCTCACTCAGCTACTTGTATAGTCGGTGTGGTTGGGGAATGGGGAGCACAAACCGCAACGGCCTATTATTTTTTATTAGTGCACTCCCTTCCTGGACGCACGGGTTTTTTTAGAAAGTTTTCCCATGATACCATCTTTGTTAATAACAGCTTCTGTGTAGTTTACAAGGGAGGTCCATATCTAGATTACCAGATCGTCTCTTGGTTCTTTTGATAAGGAGCTTAGGCAATCCCAAACCAAAGAACTCTTTGGGGCAGATGTGCCGAATGCTTTCTTTTGACCCAGCATATGCAGCTAGCGTCCGAGCCTCCCATAAATACTCCGGAGAGGACCACAATTAGGAGATGGGGTGGAGCGGGAGTGTGAGCTTAAGTCTAAGTGATGTTTCCAACTGGGGCTGGCGTCGTGCTTTAAATAAAAGTATTTTATTTCTAAATAAAAGTATTCTGATCATTTAGGTCTCTCTTTATAGGGCATCTTTTATGACCAAGACTGTCCAGTACCAAAATGAGCTACACAAATTCCTAATCTGGGATACAGCTGGACAAGAACGAGTAAGTTGCCCTTTAATTTACTATGTGTTCTTCTGAGGCCCACAGTAAAGCTCCGACCAAACTGTCATTGTCCCCATCATTCCACGTCACTCACTTCTCTCCCGCGCACCAGAGACGCATTTATTTCCATTTGCGTGGGCCAGCCTTTTTCTTTTCAATTAGAGCCACAAAGTCCACTGATGGAGAAAGTGATAATGGGCACTGAGGGCATTTTTATACTTTTTAGTGTCTCGGAGTAAATGCTGACTAACAGGCCTGATAAAATCCCACTCAGAGCATTGTGTGTAATTTGGGGCTCCATCCTCTAGCAAAGATATAAAAGAATTAGTGGTCGAAAGGGAGAGTTAAGCACATCTCATTTATAGCTGCCTTTTAAAAGCTAAAGAGGGAACTTTACAGCATATAAACTTTGAGGTTTAAGTGAAACGGATGAGCTAACACGGAGCTGAGCAATAGGTAGTTAATAAACGCCTGACGATAAAATTGTCCGAGATGGTTCTCTGCATAAGGAAGAGCCTGAACCAGGGGTGGGGCCCGGGCCAGGGCATCCTGTGCAGAATGGGATTTCCTGAGGCCCACCCGTATTGGACTGGGGTGGGAAGGCAGGGAAGGGGACAGACACTTCTCTGCTGCCTCGTTTTCCCTCTGGGCTCCGTGTCTGATTTCCCTGTCAAGGGGCCTCTGGCAGCCACCCCATTATTCAGCTGCTGTTTAATTTTGTTTTCAAGCAGTACTATCAAAACAGAACATCTGATGGATGCACGGTGCTATCGTAAGCTCTTAAAAGGGTAGCAGAAGTAACCAGGAGAAATAGTCTGTCGTCACGGTCTTATCTAAGACGCCATAGATACCGCGTACGCTAACAGATCTGACAAGAGTCGTCACAGACAAATGGAGGAAGACAAAACAAGCCATTACTGTTGTCCTAGACGTAGACACCATACATTTGTACAGATTTCACGTCTTAAGTTGGCTCTGTTTGGTTTCTTCTGTCGTTTTCTTGTTTGTTTTTTTAACGCTGGATGTCGTGCCCTGCGTCCAATTACTCATCTGAGATATGTCTGCCTCATCTCCCACTCCCCACTCCTACTCTGTTTGTGTTGTGCACCTAGAATGGAGCAGTTAGGACAGCTAGACCTTTGCTAACCATCACTCTCCCAGCCTTCACAAGCGTGGCTTCCCGAAGCCTTTGTGAATGTATCTGTAGACACAGCCCTGGCGTCTGTCCTATTAGCCAAGAACGCCTGTGGCTCTTCGTACCAATAATATATGTACCTTTCACTGAATCCCCAAGTTCCAATTACCCCCTCCCATATATTTGATGATCCAGCAAAACCCTCATCATAAAGAATCATGCTAGAATATAGATTCCATTATACTTTGAATCTGAGCCTGTCCTAGGATACACCATGATGTATAACATCTCTTTTTTCTAGAACATAAAAAAAGAATAACACAGCGCTTTACGCCTCTCCCTTACCGCTACCATAATAGCAGGTTCTTTTAAGTTTTGTAATTAGCTGGCTCGCCTGCCTCTTGTTGCCCCACTTGTGATTGATTCTGCGGTGGGGTAGTTGCTCCGGGATGCAAGTCTACCTCCCCCTGACCCGAAGCTGGGGGCTCGCTTAGGGGATGGGCAGCGGACGGGCGGGGCTGGGGAGAGCCGCCCCGTGGAACCCCGTTCCGTGGAGACCGTCGGGAGAGGAACGCCAGCCACGGGGCAGGAGTGACATCCAAGCCAGCCAGGCCGCACGGGGTTTAAGAAAAGCAAAACATCTGACAGCCGACCACAGACGGTTGAAATGCCGTGAGCCTCCTACGAGACCCGTCCGTGGGCTCGCTCTGACTGCCAGCTTGTCCTGGGCGAGCCCTTTAAGACCTGAGTGTGCCACACTCGGCCAGACTCCATTTTCGTCACTTCCCCCCCGTTTAACTTTGGGACCAGGCTGCTTATGGTCCTCCACCGTGCCATGTGGTCCCCTCCCCTCGTCCCTGTGCACTGTTGTTCCCTCGGCTCGGAATACCCTCCCTCCCACTTGAGCCTAGAAAGCTCATATCCAGCCTTCCAAACTCACCTCTGATGTCACCTCAAGGGGGGGCTTTCCTAGCATCCCTGCTCTTCTCAGAGAAGTGACTGCATTGCCGCCTGCCCCGTTGCTCACAGCCGAGTCTGGAAGTCGCCTTGGACGCGTCCTTCCTCAGCTGCCCCCACATTTTGCTCATTCCGCGTGCCGGGCAGCTGTGTCTTCTGAATGTACGTCACATACGGTCACCTCCCTCCACCTCTCCTGCCAGCGCTCCGCTCTCAGCCACCTGTGACTCACAGAGGGTCCCTGTAGCCTTTTAACTGGTCCCCTGCTTCCCCCTTCCCAGCCTGCCACCCTGTGTCACTTCTCCTCACAGGACCTGGAGGGATCTTCTGAAAACAGGAATCAGACACTACTCTCTTCCTTCAGTGGCTTCCCACTGCTTCTTTCACAATAGCCAAGGCCTAAATGGCGGCCTACAAAGTCCTGCACGGCCTGCCCTGCCTTCTAGCCCCGGTGCCCCTCCTGGCTCATCCACCCTCTCACCCGCCGAGTTCCAGCCCACTAGCCTCCACTCAGTTCCTCAAATGCCCCAGGGCCCTTGCCTCTCAGGCCTTAGGTACATCCCTCCTTCTGCTCTCTTCCTCTGCTCAGAGCATGGCCCGCCGGCCCAGCCTGTTAGGCTCAGGTTCAATGACACACCCTGGAGTTTTCCCTAACCCCCCTGTACCGAAGCAGGACCCCAGTGCGTGCTCCATCACTGCCCCCTGTTCATTTTCCTGAGGACCCTCATTACAAGTTGCAGTTAGATGACCTGTCTACTGAGCTTGATTGACAAGAGCTGGAACCAGTGTCCTTTCACTGCCCTGTTCCCGTGGCCTAGCATAGTGCCTGACAAAGCACTGATGATCAGACGTTGGTTGAACCGATCAGTGAAGGAACTCTTCAGAGTATTTCCTTGTGTCCCACACGGTCTTTGATTGCCCCCATCCACGGGATTGTCGATTTCCTCACTTGTGTCTTCTGTTAGACTGTGAGCTCCTGGTGGGCAGAGACTGTATTCACGTCTGTGCTCTCAGCCCCTGGCACACAGTATTGATGTCAGTGGACTTAGTCATTTGACTGCCAGCCCTATCTTTGCACAGATGAGAAGGACAGATCCTCTGCCTACTGTTACCATGTGAGTATTGCATGCCTCAAATTATAAAGTTCTGGTATTTGCGTACGTATTGTTCAGTTCTCTACAGTAGTAACGTACATCATGGAACCAAAAGGCGCCATAAAATGAGAATCCTTTCTGATGAACCGACCGTTCAGACATCCTCCCCATTGGACCCTCGCATCTGTTGCTGTCTATGGTTTTGGCAGGTGGATTGTCTTTCTGATGGTCTGGTTGCAGTTGATTTGCAAATTGATTTCATTACATCAACGAAAGTGATTTTGGAGAACTTCACAAATGTCATGCAAAGCCATTGACAGTAGGGATCTTGTTAAATGATGAGGAAAATACCGATAAGGATGATGATATAAGTGTTTCAGAAGATAATGATTTGTGGACCAAAGAGTTGAGCAGCCTAGGAAAAGCTGATGGAGTCCTCAGATATTTTTGCGAAAATTTCCTTTTTATGACAGGATAGGAGAGTCAAGCATGAAATGAAAGACAGACATCGTATTGTGCTAGCATATTGTTTCATCAGGAGAATCACAAGTCCTCAATCAACTTCGATGCAGTGTTCATTCAGGAAACTAGCTCGTGCTTGCGATGATAAACCCAATGTTTTCCCTAACATCACATGAAATGAAACTTGTTTTCATAATTTAAATTTATTTTCTCAAGAGAGTGCCTTTGTCAGATCTTTGTGTCACTCTTTGCTATCCTAAGTGAATTCATTTGAAGTGACCTCCCTCCATCAGTCATCCTTCACTAACAAGGACATCAGCGGTGGCATGGAGGCAGAGCCAGCAGCACGCACGCAAGCTCCACAGATCCCATAAATACCCCAGAAATGGAGAAACATTTCAGATACTTTTGCCAAGAAAGCTTCTGAACCACAATCTAATAGATGCTGTGTCCAGTCCTTAGATTTATGACTCTGAATCTTAATGTGGATTCTCCTGATGACCGTTCCCAGAGGTCAGAGCGCCAGGAAGGCACAAAGTCTGTTACTGTCCTGTTTTAAAATCGGGAAAACGTGTAGTAGCTGAGTATCATGCTAGAGCTGGGGTTGACACTCTGGCTTGTCAACCAATGCAGCCTGCTGCCTGTTTCTAGAAGTAAAGTTTTATTGATATACAACCGTACTTTTTTGTTTATGTAGTCTATAGCTACTTTCAGTAGATTTCTTTAGTAGTAGAGTTGAGTAGTTGTGACAGAGATCAAATGACCCACAAAGCCCAAAATCTTGACTACGTGGTCTTTTCCAGAAAAGGTTTTGCCAACCTTGATCCAGAGACAGATTTGGAGCAGAGACGTGCAGATGTCCTCTGAGTGTCTTTTTAAACCACCACTTTCTTTCTTTACATCAAAAGGTCATGGAAAGAGTTTCAGTGTCAATAACGGCAGAGTGGCTTCTAAGGGACTAACCCTCCCAGAGACAACAATTATACACAAACTCTGGACAAAACATTAAAAAACAATTCTGAAGGCACTGCCGAAAGTAGTCTTTCGGGGACTACAGAAGGGATGGCCATGGTGAGGCTCATGTTTTTTTGTAGCTTTTCCCCAGAGGCCGCTCTCCAGACCATGCAGCACAAGGTAGCTAGGACTCACACAGAAAGCCCTGGTTTTTAGCTTGTGGTATTTGAGGACAGAGTTTGATGCTGCTAGAGACTCTGGGGGAAGGGGGCGCAAATCCCAGAAAAGATGGACCCAACAAGGAAGCAGCCTCTAAAATCCGCTCATGAATTCCCCTCAAGCCTCCATTTGACCCCCAGTTGCAAATGCACAGGGGAGACGCTAAGGAACTGGACAGAAAAACAACAGCTAGAGCGGTGACAAGGCTGAGCAGAGGTTCGGCCCCTGCTCATCCCAGGAGAAGCAGAGTCCGGAGGTGGAGTCCAGTCCTGCCTTATTGGAGAGGAGTGCCAGCACGACACCCTGGGCTTCCTCTGGAACCTCGGCAGGGCCGGGCCTTGCAGGTGAGACCACGTCCCAGACCACAAGTAGGCCCAAGTAGGCCCTCCCTCGCCACGTGTAAAACCAACGTCAGGGCGAGTGTCCGGTATTTTAACACTCTTCAGACGGGCTAATAGAAGCCAGATAGTTTAAATATGTTCAGAGACTTCAAGGAAAAGTAGTCTTACTGACTTAACTACACATGGGGACCCTCGCACAGAAAGGAAACTAAGGACCAGACCGACAGAAATGCTGAAGCTGAAAAGCTGCAGTGCCTACGACAGAAACTCCCCTGCACGGGTGGCAAACAGGTTAGCCAGTCAGAACAGAGAAAGAGCAGGAAATCCGAACACTGTCTCCGTACTGCTGGGACAGATCCAGACAACCTGATTTGTGCAACTAGAGACCCAGCAGTGGTGAAGAGACACGGGAAACAAGGAGAAGATCCTCCCAAGAGAATTTCCCAGATTTGGCGTAACACATCGTCAACTCACAGATCCAGGAAGTTCCGGCAGACCTGTCAGTACAAAGAAACCACAGAGACTGCTGAAAACCGGCGTCAAAGAGGGTCACCTCGAAAGCATCAGGGACAGTAGACACACTGCAAGGAGCAGCAGTGCGCGGGGGCCCCGGCTTGTCACCAAGACAGCGGCGGCTGGGAGACAGTGGGATGAGGTATCTTGAGAGGGCTGAGAGCAGAAAGATGTCCGTCTGCCAGGATTCTCTCTCAAATATGAAGTCAAAGGAATGACCTTTGTAGACGAACAAGAACAGAGAAGACTCAGCCGCAGCCCCAGAGAGTCTGTCTGGCCAGACGGACGCACCGCCGGGTGGCAACTCGTCCCCGTGAGAATGGCTGCCGGAAAGGGTAAAGAGGAAAGTCTGTCTTTTGTTTTCTTATTTACTGGCTATGAATGTAAACATCCTAACGTTGGATCGTATGGCTTCTAGTACACGTAGACTTTGAATATTTGACAGCACAGAGACCAATGGGATTTAAAAAATTAGACTCTTGCAAGGTCCTGATATTTTATGCGAGGTGGTGCATTTTAAACTCTTAAATAGACAGAAAAAAGCGTGTATTGTAGTCACAAGAGCAACCACTTAAAAATACAAGAAGGTGTGTGGGGCGCCCGGGTGGCTCAGTTGGTTGAGCGTCCGACTTCGGCTCAGGTCACGATCCCACAGTTCGTGGGTTCGAGCCCCGCGTCGGGCTCTGTGCTGACAGCTCGGAGCCTGGAACCTGTTTGGGATTCTGTCTCCTTCTCTCTCTGCCCCTCCCCACTTGTGCTCTGTCTCTCAAAAAGAAATAAATGTAAAAAAAAAAAATTTTTTTTTTTTTTAAATACAAGAAGGTGTAGCTAAAAGGCTAGTGGGCAAATTAAGATGTTAAAATTGAGTGCTAAAAATAGTGAAAAAAAGAGGGGATGAAAGGAAAAACAGGATTGTGTTTTTAATGAAATAAATCTAAAACAAATAGCAAAACGGGAGACCTTCTAACCAGCACATAGTTCAAGCCTGGTTTTTGATGCAATCTGATAACGTCTGCCTTTTAAACAGAATATTCAGTTCCTTTACCTTTAATGTACTTACTGATGTAAGAAGATTACCTTCACTGTTAAAACATAGCTTGAAAATAAGAGAATGGAAAAGCCTATTCTGTGTAAATCATAAGCAAAAGGAAATTATTGTGGTTACATCGCCATCAACAAATACCAATGAAATAGACTTGAAGACAAGAGTGATTATCAGGAATAAAGAAGGGGTGTGATAAGAGGGGCGTTAAAGAACTTTCTGTATGGATAGAAATATTTTATATCTTGCTTGGTGTTTGCATGGATGTTGTATGTATACACATACACGTTGGTCGTTTTATCAAAACTTAAGATCTTTTATCTAACTTAAGATCTTTGCATTTCTCTACATGAATTTTACCCTTACAAATGTAAAAAGAAAACCAAAAACCCAACAACTTTATAAAGGTTGTTGCCAGTATCATACATCAAAAGTGAAAGCTAAGGGACACCTGGGTGGCTCAGTCAGTTGAGCGTCCAGCTTCGGTTCAGGTCATGATCCCACAGTTCGTGGGTTTGAGCCCTGAGTTGGGCTCTTGTGCTGATGGCTCAGAGCTTGGAGCCTGCTTCGGATTCTGTGTCTTCCTGTCTCTCTGCCCCTCCCAGGCTCGCTTTGTCTGTGTCTCTCAAAAATAAACAAACATTAAAAAAATGTTTCTTCTCTTAAAAACGAAAGCTAAAATTATATATCCGATAAGGGGTTAATACCCAAAATATTTAAAGAACTTAACACAGTTCAGCATCCAGAAAACAGCAACAGATAATCTGATTTTAAAATGGGCAGAGGAACTGAATAGACATTTTTCCAAAGAAGGCACACAGGTGCTCAACAGACACATAGGAAGATGCTCAACATCACCAGTCACCAGGGAAACACAAATCAAAACCACAAAGAGATACCATCTCACAGCTGTCAGCATGGCTAGTCTCTAAAAACACAAGAAACGACAAGTGCTGGTGAGGATGTGGAGAAAAGGGAGCCCTCGTGCCCTGTTGGTGGGAATGCAAACTAGTGCAGCCACTGTGGAAAACAGGATGGGGCTTCATCAAACAGTAAAACTAGAACTACCATATGATCCAGTAGTTCCACTACTGAGTATTTAACCAAAGACAATGAAAGCATTAATTCAAAGAGATGGATGTACCCCTTGTTTATTGCAGCATTATTTACAGTAGCCAGGATATGGAAGCAACCTATGTGTCCATTGATAGACAAACAGATACAGAGATGTGGTGTGTGTGTGTGTGTGTGTGTGTGTGTGTGTGTATACACACACACACATAACAATAGAATACTTCTCAGCCATTAAAAAAAATGAGATCTTGCCGTCTGCAACAATATGGACGGAGCTAGAGAGTATAATGCTAAGGAAATAAGTCAGAGAAAGACAAATACTATATGATTCCACTTACATGTGGAATCAAAAAAAAAAGCAGAAACAGATCCATAAATACGGAGAACAAACTGGTGATTGCGGGAGGGAAGCAGGGTGGGGAGGTGGGCAAGATGGGCGAAGGGGAGCGGGAGGGCCAGGCCTCCAGCCGCGGAATGAAGAAGTCGTGAGGAGGGCAGGAGCAGCAGCAGAAGTCGATCAGTGGTGCTGTAATTGCAGTGACAGACTGGCAGCCGTCCTGACCAGGGGCACAGCACAACGCATAAACTTGTCAGGTCCCCTGCCGTACACCTGGACCTAGCAGAACGTTGTGCGTCCGCTGTGTGTGACAGCAGTGGACGGATGACCGAAGGCACAAAGGGAAGAAGGGACTGGAAAGGGAAGCTAACGCGTCACCCGCTGTGCCGCCTCCCCCTGTGGAAGCCCGTCCACAGTCTTTTCCGTCCGGGAACGTAGCTTCCTACTCCGTAGTGCTTTCTTCCTTACCATCTTCTGTTCTTTTCTCGCGCAAACTGAACCTGTTTGTTTGGAAATCATCAGGGTTTCACCCCAGAGGCAGAGATCTTTCTCACAAAGCGTAGTGACACTTCATACGTACGGCTGTGCCGTCTGGCACTCGGCTGGTCACGTCACCTCATCCTGAAACCCTTCTCGATTCATTTGCTCCCCGATTCGTGCTCACCGACAGCCTGCCAGGCACCAGGCTCCAGAGATGAGATGGTAGACTGAGCAGACGCGCTCTCCCCTCACCGAGCTTGCACTCGTAGTTTCACTTTCTCGTACGAAACTCAAATTAACTTAAAAGTTTAAAAGCCAAAGGTTAAGCTCATTGGAAAAGAAGTTGCAAAATCGGTAATTCTGCATGTGAATTGTACCGTATGCCAGATACTCCCCTGTGACGACGGTTCCTACCTGTATTTGGGGGTCAGCCACCAGAGCAGAGAACAGTGGTATCACGTCAGCCGTAGGTGGGCTCAGCTTTCAAAGTCGGGGTCTACAGTGAAGCTCGGCTGTAGGTAAACGTCACGTCCACTGAGCAAGATGCCCAGCAAGCAGCGTCCCGTTTTCCACTTGCCGTCTCTCGCGCTCCTCGGGAGAGGTGGCTGCTGAGGGGGCCCTGCGGTTATCCGGGTCGGGGCCGGGGTGCGAGGGGTGGGGAGGGGCCGCACAGGACAGTGAGATCCACGTAAACGGGATGAGATTTGCGCCCACATTTGGGAACTGCCACGTGCGCAGAGAGATCAGACGAGCAAGCTACAAAGTCCCGCTACAAAGTCCCCCGAGTAGCGAATGCAAACGCGGACGCGTTTCTGTAGTACGATCAGCATTTAGATTACAGGGTTATCTTTACGACACCCAAACGCAGCCACTTCTCTGGAGAACGATTCACGGCATTATTTTTATCTCCGTGATAGTTTTGGAAGCCAAAGTGTAAAGGACTATTGAACAAATGAATTCGGGGATTATAACACCGAGTTCAATTAAGAAGCCTTTTTAGCGGAAACAATTGTTTATAGCACCATATTTAATTCCTATAAAACTGTATTCTAAACTGTCTTCTGCGAGACATTCAGTGTTACGTTAAAGGTTTTTTGCCTTTGGTAATTACCGGTTCATCTGCTCTAACGCATCACGTCATCTTCTTTGGCTTGAGAGAAAGATTACCTTCTGTGCAGGGATAATGGGCCTGAAAGTCAAATAAAAAACATCTTTAACCCGCTTTCCCAATTTTGTTGTTTCTTCCCCCCCTTCTCCGCAGTTCCGTGCCTTAGCACCCATGTACTACCGAGGGTCGGCTGCAGCTATAATTGTTTATGATATCACAAAAGAAGTAAGACTTTCCATTTTCCTTAGACTGTTCCGAAACCCCTGTTTTGGCTGCTTAGCCCTCCAGCCGCTCTCCTTTCTTGTGTTCCAGGAGACATTTTCAACATTAAAGAACTGGGTGAGGGAGCTCCGGCAGCATGGCCCGCCCAATATTGTGGTTGCCATAGCAGGAAATAAGTGTGATCTTATCGACGTCAGGTAAGTTATTAGAACGGGAGATTACGGTGCTGATTATGTGTTCCTTTTCTTCCTGAGCAATATCCAATATAAGAATCTTCTTTTATTTTATCTCTGACATTGAAAAATTCCTTTTGGTTCAGTTGAAGTCCTGAAGTTTCCAACAAAAATTAAGAGTTCAGACATTTGGGGGTGATTAGATTACAGAGAGAGAGAGAGAGAGAGAGACGGGTGTGTGCTTTATTTAAGCACTGGTGACATCATACTTGACGTTATCTGAGGTTAGTCTAGCCCCCACCCTGTTCCCATGACATAGGGTACTTGAATAGGGGAAAACATGTATACCTTAAGGAAGGCACATTTATTGGCAATTTCTCTGGACCACTTCCGTGATTCCCAAAGCGAGGACTTTCCTTTGGGGGGTGGGGGGAGGGAAACCCCCCCCCCCTTGCCATTCTGTGACCATTCTGTCAGATAGCTGGATTGCTCGTACTGCTGGGTTCTGTTTTGTTTTGTTCTGTGGAACCATATAAGTGGTGTAATCGGGAGGACCATGTTTTCAGGGCTCAGTCACTAGCCGTTCATGACATCCTTTGTCATCACAAATCTGGTTAATTACCGGGTAATTGTTGCCTTCCAGAGAAGTCATGGAGAGAGACGCGAAGGACTACGCCGACTCCATCCATGCGATTTTTGTGGAGACCAGCGCGAAAAACGCAATAAACATAAATGAACTCTTTATAGAAATTAGTGAGTATCTCTGTGCCTTGTGGGTTTCCTCTGTGCAGAGCAACTTAATACAGAATTACATGGCTGGGGAGAATTCCCTCCGTACATAGAATAGTCTGGTCTCTGACATTGTTCTCAGTGGCACGAGATTGGAGAACGTAAGAGTGGCGGCTGGGTTTCAGCTCGTGTTCTCATTGCTGGAGAGCCCCTGCCTGATGACTGCGACCCTTCTCAAAAGAATGTTGCTGCCGAATAAATAATGCTCAGGGCCTTGAGGTCCTGGAAGCTGTCATCTTGCGCTCTGTCTCTCTAAATGTGTTTCAATTAGCCATCCAGAGTCATCGACGGTGAACAAAACGATAAAGGGAAGTGAAATCCAAGTGTGATTCCACTGTAAGAAAAACCTCAAAAATTAATACCAGGAGAGTAAAAAGTAAGACCTCCCCTTCCCATCCCTCCCCCTTCCCTTTCCAGAAGTGTTAATATGATGCTGCTAGATGGAAGGAGGCTGCCGCATACCTTGGGGACCCTCTACAGATTGTATCTATGTTTATTCATTTCATTCAAATTCATCAAAATATTTATTGAGAACCGTTCCTGGCTCGGGGGAGACGGCGGTGAACAAGACAGGCGTGGCCCTGCTCTCCTGAAGCGCACTTTCTGCTTCGACAGGCAGGCAGCGAGCACAAATATGAGTAAGATCCCTCCCTGTGATCTCCAGTGATGGGAAACTGGAGTAGTGTGGGATGAAGTGAAGGCGTGTCCGCTGGTGGTCAGGGAGGGCCTCCCCGAGGAGGTGAGACTGGACGGGTCAAGCTCTGCAGGGACCTGGGGTTCACGTTAGCCGGACGCGTCAGACTTGCAGGTGACCGGGAGAAGGCTGACCGGGCACGGTGAACTTACCCGTCCAGATCCGTCGACGGTGTGAGGTCAGAGGTCACTGAGGCCGGAAGGGCACTTGGCCATCGTGTAGAGGAGGGAGTGGGGAGTGCAGCACCCAGCACGGCCAGGCAGGGACGGGCCTCCAGCCCTGGGACGCAGACAGCCCCCGCGACCCCGACAGCTGGCGTGTGGGGCCCCGCACCAGCAGGTGGGGTCACACTGGCATGTAGGCCCCTGGTTGCCCAGTTGCTGGGGTGGTTTTTCTCTTTATTCTTCGATGGTTTTAGTTGGCTCAGGGTCTGGGTTTTATGTGATACGTCCCATTGTTTAGACTGGGCCACCGATTCAAGCGTCGTCAGAGTACCGTGCGAAAGTCCTCGGAGTCCTTTCAGAGTATTGCCGAGGCCATCTGCCACCACAGAGGGCCACTGGCCCGCTGATCTCCAGCCCCACGTCCAGTCCCTTCACTTCAGCATTTGAAGTCACGACGCGTAGTGCCTTCCTGGACTGTAAATAGCAGTTACACAAATACACACTTGAAAGGCAGCATGAGGCCAGTCAGGAATTTTTCAGTTCAGGCGGAAACATCCAAGAGTGTGCTGGTGGGAGCGTGCCAGAATCGTTGCCATTTTTTTTGGCGTGTTCTTCAGTAGTATTAAGAACAAAGGTAGGGGCGCCTGGGTGGCGCAGTCGGTTGAGCGGCCGACTTCAGCCAGGTCACGATCTCGCGGTCCGTGAGTTCGAGCCCCGCGTCGGGCTCTGGGCTGATGGCTCGGAGCCTGGAGCCTGTTTCCGATTCTGTGTCTCCCTCTCTCTCTGCCCCTCCCCCGTTCATGCTCTGTCTCTCTCTCTGTCCCAAAAATAAATAAACGTTAAAAAAAAAAATTTTTTTTTTTAAATTAAAAAAAAATTAAAAAAAGAACAAAGGTAGTGAATGATGCCAACAGTGACAACTCTTAAATAAAACCTAGCACGTACGTGCTCATTTTCACTGTGAAAAATAAAAAAATCTATGTTCCCAAAGATCAGAAAAATTTAGAGAGACGTAAATTGAGTTTATTGTTTACCGGGTGTAGTAAAACGCATCAGCGCAGTGCCTGGCATGCGGACTTTTTATTGAAGCATAATACACGTCCAGGAGGGCGCTTAGAATTACGGAGCTCAAGGAATTTTCAGAGTGAGCATTCTCCTGTAATCAGGACTGAGATCAAGACCCACCAGCACCCCAGGAGCTCCCGCGTGCCCTTCCTGTCCTTCCTGTCCCCACCCAGGGAACCGCTGTCCTGACCGCTAGCTCTTCAGATTGGTTTTGCCTATTTTTGTACTTTTTTTTTTTTTTTTTTTTTTGAACCTACCGTATTTACTCTTTTGCGTCTGGCTTCTTTAGTTCTACGTTACATTTGTCAGATCCACCCGGATCGTCGCCGGACTCGCTCTCGTTACCGTAGACTGTGTGCATGTGCGTGTGGAGAAGGGGGTGACATCCACGGTGTAGTCACCCGTTCTGTTGATGGGGGTTTGAGTAGATGTTTGCAGCTCGGAGCTATTGCCGGTGGTACCTTGAGCATTCCGCTCCGTGTCCAGGGTGCACCCTCTGTGCACGCTTGTTTGTCAGGTCTGTTAGGACCCAGAAGAACGATCACTGAGTCGCAGGGTGTGCAGTTGCCCTGTAGGAATTTGCTGCCAGACGGTCTCCAAAGAGGTTACACTAGCGGACACTCGGGCTGGTGGCCGCATCCGCTCTGTGGGTCTTGATCTGCAGTTACGACCTGCAGTTGATGACGTTGAGCCCCTTTCTCCATATTTATTTACATTTATGTGAACAGATCTGGATATCCTCTTTTGTGAACCTTTGCCCGTTTTCCTGTTGGGCTACCTGCCTTTTTCTTAACTATGTTTATCATTTATTTTGGATACGAGGCTGTCGTTGATCACGTGTACTGGTGGCTTGACTTTCATTTGTGAAGCGAATGTTTTGGTGAGCTGGGGTTTTTGATATAATATATTAATATGTAATATATTAGTAATACCTTATATTGTGATATACGATTATACCTAATATATTATATTATAAACCTTCACATAATCCGGTTTATCCTTATTTCCCTTTACGGTTAGCACCTTCTGGCTCCTACTTAAGAGATCATGGTCTGTTCCCAAGTCATGAAGATGTTCTCCTCTGCTTTCTCCTAAGACTGTTTCAGAGATGGCAGCACCAGCTGCATTTCCACGATCCGTTTATTGGAAATGTGTAACAAGAAGCTTCAGTAAAGCTTTTAAATAAATTTGCAGTTTATTCACAGCCGTGTCTACAGGCATCTGAATAGTCACTGTAGGACGCTCTGGGGGACACCTTCCAGTGTAGACACCACGTCGTGTACTGCCCACCTGAATTTGCGGGCCGCTCAGCCTGCTGGAGGCTCCAGGCTTGGCGACCAAGGCCCTGAGAGTGGCAGGTTCCACCTCAGCCTCGTTCGTGCAGAAAGATGCACGTATCCATTCATTCCACGCTTTCAAAATACCTCCGTTCCTGGTAGTGTGCTCAATAGACCCCAGAAACAACGATGGAGAGACAGGACCTTTTGCCTCGCACAGCGTAGGGTCTCATTCAAGGAACCTAGTTCCGTAAGCAAACAAGTAACGTGCTTCTGGCTCCTGACTGACTTTAGGGTCGGAGGTGTTGGAGAGATCTGGGAAGTGGGAGGGCCTCAGGAAGGCCTCCGTGCACGGACGCAACTCTTGCGTTCCCGTCTGGGTAGGTGGATGGCGATTTAAGGTTGCTCCTGAAATTGACATTATGCTTCACGGAGCAGTAAAGTGAAACCTGTTCATTCTCATGCATTGTTGGTAGGAGGATAAAGTGGCACAGCCTCTTCAGAGAGCAATTTGGTGGCGTCTGTCCAAATTTAAAATGCACGTCCTTCTTGCATTTGTGCTAGATAGACACTGGGAATGTGGTGTAGGTGTCAGATGAATACCCAGGGGCAGAATAGCGTGACCCGGTTCTTCCCCTCCTGTTAATTTATCTTCCGCGTCGGTTCACAGAGATATTCTTTACACTGTTGTTAATACCATCACAGTGTTGGAAACAAACTAAATATCCATCGACAGGGGAGTGGTTAAGTAAACTCCGGTGCCTCCATGCGGTGCAGTAGCTCGGAGCCGTGAAAAACCGTGGTGTGGTAGAACAGCCCCCAAAATACGTTCAGCGGAAGCAGCAACGTGGACAACCACGCACGTGGCTGCCCCTCTCGGGGCCGAAGGAGGGGGACAGCTAGAGGTGTGGGTGCACACCTGTCTCTGGACGGTGGCTCTGCCCCGAGGCAGAGGGACAGGCATGTTCTGATGGTGGAATTTTGTGTACCGGGGTGCGTACGTTCCCTGCTTATTAAAACGTTTGTCAACAAGTAATTTCTTTCTGATTAAAAACGGTTTTGCTAAATGCAACGTTGATATCCTCGTGTGGACCCCTGCACAGAAACAGGACATGAGTGGAAAAACCGCGGTCATCTGATAAAAGTCTGAACCTTAGTTAGTGATGTGCCAGCATGGGATTCTTCATCGTCACAAGTGGTCCGTGGGAATGGGAGATGTTAACACACCCCGGGTGAAGGATGTGCGACAGCTGTCTACGATTATCTTTGCAGCTTTTCTATAAATCAAAAATTGAAAATCTGTGAAATCCTTTTTACTTTAGTGAAACCTGTCAAGCTGCATGTGCACAATCGTTGCGTCTGGGAACCAACCGATTGGAAAATTAAAGCTCGTTCCCTTCCCTCCTCTCCTCCCTGTCTAGGTCGAAGAATTCCGTCCGCCGACGCCAGCCCACCATCTGGCGGGAAGGGCTTCAAGCTCCGGAGACAGCCTTCCGAGCCGCAGCGAAGCTGCTGCTGACCGAGCCTCGGCCTCCGGACTGGGTGATGATGAAGTAGGTGGTCCAGAGAGTTAACAGGAGGGCTGGGGGCCCTGCTGGCAGGTTTCGCCTCGCCGGTTTAGGGTCTTCTTCGTGCAAAAAGGATTCAGAGAAATTGGCCAGTTCCGCTTCCTCTTTGGAGACTGCAGCAGTACCATTTCAGTCTGCGGACCTCCATCCCGTAGAGTCTGCTGTGCAAAGGAAGGGACTGTATCACTTGACCTTGCGGAAAAGGAACATGTAATTGTATGGATGGCAGGATCAAACTGTTGAGTAGTTTTGTAATCAAGGTTTTATGTAACATTTGTAAAGGGAAAATTAGCACTTTTGTGGTTCTCGAGGGAAAAAAGACCTTGTGGAGATTGTAATTTCCTTGGCGTCCCGTTACCGCTGCTACGGGGAGTCGTAGCATTTAAGATGTGGTAGGTGAGGTAAGCGGAGGGATGGCAATTATCATATGAAGCTAGATAGAATGGGTTATTTATAGGCCCGATGGAAATTACTCCCCCCCCATCTCAAAAGCACTTTTCCTTGAAGACTTTAGCCCGTGACGCATCCAGTAAATCAATACAGTCCCAACAGGTGCACGGCTCACCCGAGGCTGGCATTCCGGCCTTGTCCTGTACGTGTCACAAAATACAAGACTGGCACCTTTTTAAATACGCTCTCGCGATCAAGATGGCGGTGGCGGAGAAGGTGCCTGGAATGAACCAAACTGCATACGTTGGAACTGACTAGCAGTGGTTTTAAAAAGAGGAAGAAGAGAGAGCGCAAAGCGGTGTAAACGGTGGGGAAGCCAGTTCTCTGTTGCTCAGCATATGTAAAGTTGTAGTCTATATTTATGAGACCATTGCTTAAAGATTATAAATTATGTAAATACATGAATAAACTCTATGTTTCCTCTAGCACTCCATTTCATCTTGCACCCCGTGTCTTCGTGTGCCCGCCCACTTTTCAGCCCGTCCACAGGAGACTCTGAAGCACGTTCGTGTCGTGCGAGGGCACAGAGCGCTTGGCTCTCGGTCTTTAAAGATGTCTCTGCCTCACCTTCCACGCACCCCTCCCTTCCACCCCCCATCTGGAAATCACAATAAAGACATATGCCACTCTGACAAGCCTGACTAGCCCTTCCTAGCCTGGGGGTGAAAGATTAAGCTCCGCGTTCCCGTCGTTTCACCTGGTCTGGGCGATCAGTTTCTTGGAGCATTTACAGCGACCCCAGACAAGTGTTTTAAGGGAGCTTTCCTTGTTAACAATTCAGCTTATCTTTCTGTTTCCTTTATTCCCCTGCCTCTGTTAGTGGTTAACACTCTTTCCCTCAGGGAGCCTAATGAGGTTTTTAATATAATCTAAAAATAAAGCACTGAAGTGAAGTTGGTGACAATTTGCTCCTGGTCTAATTTGGCACCCTTCCAACCTGAGTATTGTAAGGGAAGGAAATTTACAAGATTAAATAGGAAATGAAACAGCTTGAATTTCAAACTAAATTGTGTTTTCAGAGCTATCCTTAAACTGAACAGTTGAAACTTTTAAAAATAATTGTTATTTCCCTGTGCTCCCCCCCCCCCACTTGATAGGGGTAGATTTTAATGGGAAAATTATAACGCAGATTAAGTAAAAAACTATTCCCTTTTCCCTGGTGGATATCTTAAGCCTTTGAAATTATTTATTCTCTTCCTGAAATCATATGGAAGGAATGTGGCTAGGGAAAATTCTAGCGTTGTGTTTAAAATACGTGTGGACTCTGCCCTCCCAGCCTCTTGCTTCCTTCCCACCGTGCAGTTAGCTCTGAGAGAAAAACACACGGTTCTAAGCGTGGGCTCCTAACACCTGAAGTGGGCGGGCAGGGGACGGTGAACTTTATTTCCTATATATCCAGATGGGGCAGGACATCTGGCCCATGCCCTGGTATGTCCCTGACGTCCCCACTGCTGGGCCTCTCTCTCCGCGAAGGCCAACAAAATAGAAACAAAGGTTGCTTGACTCCTAACTTTGAGGCGATGCACGCGTGGCCCTTTTTTGGCTTGTTCCGCCAAAAGATGCTGCAAGTGTGTGACCTGCACATTTTTTTTCCTCCAGACCTGTCGGTGATTTCACGGTGCCTGGGTGCACAGGGGAAGGCGGTCCCGTGCCTCTTACCGGCGAGGCGCTGGGAGGCGCCCCTCCCTGTCGTGCCCTTGGCTGCATGTGGCCCAAAGAGGGCCAGCTTCTCAGCCCCCCACAGCTGCTTTCTCTTCATGACTTCTCATGCGCCTCCCCGTTGTCGAAGGCATTTCTGTCGGGTTGCAGCCACGCGTTTTATCCAGAGAATGGATGATGTGGGGTGCCCAAGTGGCTCAGTTGGTTAGGCTCCTGACTCTTGATTTCGGCTCGCGTCACGATCTCACAGTTCGTGGGTTCGAGCCCCGCGTCGGGCTCCATGCTGACAGTGCCTCCTTCCTTCCTCCTCGTTTCCGTCAGACCGTCTCGGGAGGGGACGAGACCCTGCTCCTCCCGTGGTTGTCACCTTCCTGCTCAGCAGCAGATTCTTATCTGAGATCCGTGTGGTCCATACCCCATGAAAACAGGGGGCAGATGTTTCCATTTGTTTTGTTTGCTTGTGTGATACAAAAGAGGAATGTTAGAGGCAGAAGCGGTGTTTTGTTTTGAACACACTTTGGATTAACGACCTGACCAAGCAATGATCTGATACACATTTGGTACATTCTCTGTTGTTCCGTCTTAGGAGGAAAAAAACTAGATTTCAAAGGAATTGAGACACAGCCCATCTCTAAAAATCTTCTTTTTGGTTCTCTTCTGACAAAGGGCCATTTGAAAAAACTTTGGGGACTGGAAGGGGAAAAAGCACTAATTAGCTGCAAGGGTGTATCGATTCCTCTCAGAGAAATTGAAATGAGCTCTTTTGCAGGTGTCCAGTCCCAGGAACCATCGGTCTCCAGAACTCTCCTTTCACACAAGTGTTTTTCTGATTCTATGATAACTAATTAGCCATCATTTGATGATTAAAAGAACATAAAGTAAGAGTATGATTAAGTGTCCTTCATTTTAAACTCTCTGTAAGAAGTGATTAGGGAGAAGTACCTATTGGAAGCCCTTCTGGTTCCAAATGAAACCTCCATCACCTGCTTTTCAGCCGCAGGCAGCCCGAGTGCTACGCGCGGCAACTGAAAGATTTAGTTCTTTGAAAATAACACACTCCTTGGGGCGCCTGGGTGGCGCAGTCGGTTAGGCGTCCGACTTCAGCCAGGTCACGATCTCGCGGTCCGTGAGTTCGAGCCCCGCGTCAGGCTCTGGGCTGATGGCTCAGAGCCTGGAGCCTGTTTCCGATTCTGTGTCTCCCTCTCTCTCTGCCCCTCCCCCGTTCATGCTCTGTCTCTCTCTGTCCCAAAAATAAATAAAAACGTGGAAAAAAAAAATTAAAAAAAAAAAAGAAAATAACATACTCCTTGTTGCCCATCTGCGATTTTGTTTGAAGCGGACGCCTCCCGTATCTGGAGGATCGAGCCGTTTGTATTAGAGGCTTGACCTCCCCCCGGCCCCCCCTTTGCGTGGGCTGGTGCCCTTCTCGAGGTGATCGATTCTCATTATTTTTAAATATATTAAAAAGGGAAAGAAGACCACATTTAATCTGAGAACTTCTAAGTCTTGTATTTTCTTTTTTTCTGTTCTCAAGAAGGAAAACAGGTCTAGGAGACCTTCTAAATTAAACTCTGGGAGGTAAAGTAATGCAAATGTCCTTTAGGTAGCTTGCGTGGCTTTCCTGGAGATGTCAGACCGAAATATCTGTACTTTCACGGCACTGTGTACAAACGGCCAGGTCGGATTCAGGTTACACGGCACTAATTGGCAAGTTAGCCTCAGAGTTTGGAAAGCCATTTGTTCATGGTCCTAGGCACCTGTTACCTTCTGCGGGCGAGATGCTAAAGATCTATAAACTCTTGTAAGCGTTTTTTTCCCCTCGTTTGTTTCTGGTTGGGTTTTTTTTTTTTTTTTTTTTCTTTCCTTTTTTTTCTTTTTTTTCCAGAGCACACTGAGAACATGCTTCATGGCGCCTTGGTCATATAAGATATAGGAGCCCGGTATGTTATACATGACAAATGGGCCCTCACACATTCACGTCTTTGCAAGAACCGGTATGAGTACTGAGAGAAGCCTTTCCTTCTGGGGAAAAGTTACTGAAAGCCCTGGGATATCTACTAGGCACCTGCTTTAGAAGGTTGTGTGTGTGTGGCGGGGGGGCGCGGGGGGGACGCCCACAAACCCAGGGTGGCCCCCCCCTCTTTTTTTTTTTTAATGTTTATTTATTTTTGAGAGAGAGAGACAGAGCGTGAGCAGAAGAGAGGGAGACACAGAATCCAAAGTAGGTTCCAGGCTCCGAGCTGTCGTCAAAGAGCCCGATGCGGGGCTCAAACCCACGAACCGTGAGATAATGACCTGAGCCCGAGTCGGACGCTCAACCGATTGAGCCGCCCAGGCGCCCCTGGCTCTCGCCTCTAAACTCTGTAGTCTGTAAATGTTCCTCCGACCTCTATAATGATGCAAGTTAAAGGCAGCAGTAAGCTAGATGGTGTGAGCTTGTGGAAAATCTCCCTCGTTTAAATTTGTTTCAGAGGGACTAGGAGCATGACTTCTGTTTGCTCTTTGACTTCAGGAGTTCCTCTACCTCTTAACGGTTCCAGTGTGTTTTAAAGGAAGCAATGGAAGGGACCTTTAAGGATCAAGCTATTACTGTGTACCTGCCTTCAGTTAGCTTGGTGCATCAAAAGTTCAATAGCGATGCAAGGTAATGTTTAGGAGACTTATTTTAACCCCTGTGGTGCTATTATAAAAATAGTCCAAGCAACAGATTTATCCGAGAGCTATGCATTGTACTGCGTAGTTTTAGAAAAAGGGCGTGGGGTGGAAACTCAGCTGAGGAGTGGAAGAAATGACCTCTGCCAGTTCTCCTGGACAGCAGAGTTACTTGTCTTGACTTCCAGGAATAGAAATCCAGGCAATTTGATGATCTGATTTGCAAAAAAAACATTAACGGCATTCTGGGGGCATTCGTCCTGTTTTGTGTGCAAATGAAAGTCTCTGAAATATTAGAAGGGTGTTACATTTTTCAGGAGCCTCTACTTTTTCAATCTAAGAGAATGATAAGAGAGACCTCGTGCGATGAAGTTTCATTAGACGTAATGAAGAAAGTAAATAAATAAAACAGAATCCCCATATTTCTCAGTCTGTCCTTCAGAATTCTCTGAGTATACAGGAAAATGATTTACTTTCCAAATCTAGAAGGACTTCCAGTCGGCATAGATCAACTTTAATTTGATGGTCTGTGCCATCAGAAATAACTAATATCTGTGTTCTTTCCTTTTAGAGTGTAATCAATTACAGATGCTAGAATATTTTTGGCTTCAAAACAAAAGGGCTCCGAAGTTTAATAAAAAGCAAAATTTTAACCCTTCCATCTTCTCCTTTTATTGCATTGAATATTTTAGATGGTGAGATGAGGATGTGTCATCAGTGGACACTGGAATTAAAACCACGGAGTCTGAACAGATTTAACAACAGCAAAAGCGTTTATTGCTAGTTCATTTTCAAATGTGTATGGTGCCCCGTACCTCATCAACATGCTTCGTAAATGAAACAGACAAAATTCGGGGTGGCTTTCCATGCACGGGAATCCAAGGGCCCAGAATTCAGCTAATGAACAGGAAAGGTAGTAATGATTTTTTTGAAAAAGCCCTCTTTCACTGGCAGTCTTGAACTGCAGATCTTCGTGTTCCCCTTAATCACGCAGCGGAAACAAAACATGCTGGTCTTCGTGCCACTTCTTGATTCAGGAACTTGTCCTTGTTTCTGGAAGCGAATTGTTTAAGGCAGCAGTTTGAAGGAGCTCTGTCCAAACAGCATACTGTGCACAAGGCCGATCATCTTCACTCGGAACCGAAATTGTCCAGGAAACTCGCGCATCCTGTGTCGGGTTGTAGAAAAGCGGTGCCCGCCTCCTTCGCCAGGGCGAGTCCGAGCCCACTGGCTCCCCAGGCTGGCTGCGTGGCAGGCGGCACCCCCACCCCCACTCTGGAACACTGTTGGGCGGGCATTTTGCTCTGGGGCCTCGTTCTAGTACCATTTGGGCTTGATCACGTTTCTCATCGAGTTTGTGCTTGAACGGTCCGTTTTAGCCCCTGAAACATTTTGAAAACAAGGCTGAAGTTTGTGTGCCTCTGCTGACTTCGCATATGAGGTTATTACGCAGTTGATGGAACTTTGTGTTCGTGCGGGCCACGCACGTGATGTCAGGGTGCCTGGTCGATCGGGCGCAGGCGGTGGAGTTATCGGCAGGTGGCCAGTCAGAGCAACTGACAGGTGGCTCCATGTTTAAACCATTTGTTGTCTTGTGTAGACAGAGCTGTATTGCCCCGGAAAAGATTTTTCTTTTTTTACTCTCCTCCAGCTCAGTCTTTCCATCATTTCGCTTGATGAGTCATTCACATAATTGTCAATCATGCCTCTGACCTTCTTAAGAATTGATGTCTTGCCTTCTCTGTGATCGAAACAGACTTCTTGCCTTACTTCTCTTCTTCTCACTTGGCGGTGGGCTCTCCCTTAAGGACGCACGGCACCGGCCGCCTCCTTAGTGCACGTGGTGCCCTTCGCGGGGCTGCCTGGCAGTGGGCTGCGCCCGCCACGTCCAGCGAGCGCTGGCGGAAATCGCGAAGGCTGGATAATTTTAGGCGAGGGGCTCCCATGCTTCCAGAGAGGGGATGGGCAGCACCGGTGGACGGTGGCAACACGAGTGAGTGGCAGGATGGGTTTTAGAGTCGGTGATGAGATGGTTGGTCAGAACGCTGCGTAATTTGCGTTCGGGAAAGTGTGTAGAAACACACGTCTAAAGTCTTGAAGAGAAACAGCTGTGGAGATGAGCCTCGACTTTTAAAAACGAACAAAAAAATAAACAAATAGAAGCTATGCTGTCGTACCAGCAACTCTCATTTCTCCTAAGAATGTCATGCCTTTTCAAGACCCGATGCAAGGAGTAAGATATTTGTGCCTTTGTATACTAGCATCTATTATGAAAACACACACACACACACACACACACACACACAATTAAGTTGCTTACAACTTAGACTGCTTTGTAGCACTACAAACAGCCTGCATTTATAGCCGTGGCTTCACCGCATGACACATCGCTTGATTGCCCGTGATGCAATACTGTCGGGGGGATGGCCAAGCTCGTACGGACGTCGAAGACTTTATTTTTGCAGTGTATACCTTGGGCTGGACCTAAGTCTACATGTGAACCGTATGATGTCTGTATCGTTTGTAGACGCTGACAAAAGAAAACCAGATCTTTTGATTTTTTTCTTGTTGTTGTAAGATTTATCTTTCTCTACGTAATGCTGGTAGAAGGTAGTTTGCGAGCAGTGGTAGGTTTGGCATACTTTTATTGAACTGTATTGCTTTAGCTTGCATATTCTGTAATCAACTTTTATAGCGCGTAACATGCTAAATCACTCCAAAGTTTGTTGCATTGTAAGAAGGGTGTAAACATTTTGTTAATAAAATGCTGTGTTTACAAATACGTGTATTTGCCTTTCAAATGGTTTGGTCTCTCTTTGTGGCAGTACTGAGCACGTGCCTTTCTTAGCCACGTACCCTGAAACGGTTTGAAAACTGTTTTTGGAAAAGTGCCCAGGCTTTGCCAGCTGCCGTCCCCCGCCCCGGCTGGTGAGCAGCAAGGCGGTTGTGTCACTGCTCCGGCCTCCCGGCCCCCTGCGGCGCCCTCTCCGTGCCCTTGCTCCATGACCTTCCACTGAAGGTGGAAGTGAGGCCGGGCCAGGGCTGCTGGGGCCACACTCACATCTGCTAAGTGAGGAAGCGCTTCGCACCATCTCCCGTCCTCCGCGGGGTCTCATCCAAGGTGCCGTTCCGTTCTGGTGTCGGCTGGAGCCCTGGAGTCCCTCGGTGCCCTTCTTCGCCTACACGAGTGCAGCCCCACCTGCTCGTTCTCTTTTCCACGTCCCTCGCACAGAAGCACCTTTGTCCACCCGCTACGATTGTGTAGACCGCGCTGACAGGTTCAGTGCGGGCACCAGAGCGGACTCTAGACAGACAGACCTGGGTTTGAGTCTCAGCCAGCCCCTTTCTAGGCTGTGGGGCCCTGGAGAAAGCTCTCAACCTCTCTGAGTTCCGTTCCCTTCATCTGTAAAACGGGAAGCTGATACTTGGGGACGATACCTACGGGGCTGGCGTTCAGCGCAGCGTTAACAGAGAGTAAGCACTCTTCGTATAATCTGTTGTGTGTTTTTTCTTAAATATGTTTGACCCTACAACTTTTTTTTAAATTGTCTATTTCTGAGAAAGAGAGCGTGGGGGAGGGACAGGGAGAAAGGGGGACAGAGGATCCGAAGTAGGCTCCGCACCGACAGCAGAGAGCCCGACGCGGGGCTCAAACTCAACGAACCACCGGATCACGACCTCAGCCAAAGGCAGACGCTCGACCGACTGAGCCACCCGGGCCCCCCTAATTTGTTTTTAAAAGCCGTCTCCCTGGTCATCTTTATCTGATTCAGTTTAAAAAGCTATTTGTCATTAGCTTGTTGGTTTTTTTGCGTTTTTTTCTGAAGTAGAACATGTACAGAAAATGCCATAAATACTGGGGAAGCCTCGTTACATTTTCACAAAGGAGACACCCTCGTAACCACTGCTCAGATCGAAAAGCACATCATCCATAACCCAGAAGGCCCCGCGTGTGCCTCCTTCCAGTTGCTATCCTGTTTTCTAACATCGCAGGTCACTTTGGCCTGGTTTTGAGCTTCATGTGCACACCTGCGGTTCCAGTCTGGCTTTCATTCAACACGGCGTGTACTGCTCATGTTTGTTCTCACAGCTGCTTACTCTTCCGTCGTGTGAGTAAACTGCCGATCGATCCATTCTGCGCTCGCGGGTGCTGGATCGTTTCAGATGTTTGCCGTTCTGAGCGTTCCACAACAAACATCCTTACACATGTCTTCGGCGTCTTCTTAAAAAAAAGAAGAAGAAATTTTTTAAAAAGTGAACCAAAAAATGGGAGGAAATGTTGGCTACATATACAAAAGAATGGATTACTATCTTTAGTTTACTAAGAGTGTCTATAAAGCAAGAAGAACGCCCCTCAAAAAAGGAAATGATCCACATTTGAAAACCCCAGACAGGTTCCATAGAAGAATTCCTAAGTCAACAAGGGTAGCGCTGCAACCTTGTTTATTACATATGGAGAAGAACGTAAACAAACTGTCACAGACGAATTAGTGGGAAGTTGCCCAGTATACAGTTGAGTGAAAACAGCTACGCGTGTGGAGTCCGACTCTGTTTATATAAAACAACTCACACCCTTGCACATGCCTTCACGATACGTGCATGCTTTTAAAATGCACAGATGCGTCCTCCAAGCTGTTAGCAGGCACTGTCTCTGAGCAAAGAGGCTTGGATGACAAAGTCACCTTTTATTCTCTCCGTGCTTTATATACGCTCGCGTGCTTTTTTACATTTCTTTACTGGGTGTGCGTGTGTGGGTTTTTTCTTATTAAAACCAAGCAAAACTTCAGGAATTCCTGCACCCTATGGCTGTCTCAGATCCCGAATGAAAACGGGCTGAATAGATAGATGGAAGTGACCTGCGTCCTATGCTTCCTTTTTAAAACACACCTCTCCCCTTCGAACCCTCGTGCCCAGTAGGTGAGACTGCAATCAGGTGCTGCCGCTCCGGAAAGCGGGGGGCGTGGGGGGGGGCTCCTCAAAAAGTTACAAAGAGAACTACCCTGTGATCCAGTAATCGCACTCCTGGGTATTTTTTTTTTAATTTTTTTTTTAATGTTTATTTATTTTTGAGACAGGGAGAGACAGCATGAATGGGGGAGGGTCAGAGAGAGAGGGAGACACAGAATCTGAAACAGGCTCCAGGCTCTGAGCTGTCCGCACAGAGCCCGACGCGGGGCTCGAACTCACGGACCGCGAGATCATGACCTGAGCCGAAGTCGGACGCTTAACCGACTGAGCCACCCAGGCGCCCCCGCACTCCTGGGTATTTACCCAAAAAATAACAAAAGCACTAATTCAAAGGGATACATGCCCCCTCCCCGTGTTTATTGCAGCGTTAGTGGCAATAGCCAAATTATGGAAACAGCCCAAGTATCTTTCGACTGATGAACGGATAAAGAAGATGTGGTGTATATATACAAGGGAACATTACTCAGCCATCAAAAAGAATGAAATCTTGCCATTTGCAACCACATGGATGGAGCTGGAGAATGTTATTCCAAGCAAAATGCCGGTCAGAGAAAGACAAATATATGATTTCCCTCACATGGAATTTAAGAAACAAATGCACACGGGAAAACTGACAAACCAAGAAACAGACCTTTTTTTAAAAAGTTTGTTTGTTTGTTTGTTTGTTTGTTTGTTTATTTTAGAGCAAGCACGAGCAGGGGAGAGGGGTGGAGGGAGAGAGAAAGAGAATCTCAAGCAGGGTCCACGCTTAGCATGGAACCCAATACAGGGCTCGATCCCACGATCCTGGGATCATGACCTGAGCCAAAACCAAGAGACAGAGGCTCCTGGGTGGCTCAGTCAGTTGAGCATCCGACTTCCGCTCGGGTCATGATCTCACCGTTCATGGGTTCGAGCCCCGCGTCGGGCTGGGAGCTGACAGCTCGGAGCCTGGAGCCTGCTTCGGATTCTGTGTCTGCCTCTCTCTCTGTCCTTCCCCCATTCGTACTGTCTCTGTCTCTCAAAAAAAATGAATAAATGTTAAAAAAAAAAAAAAAAAAAGAATCCCATGTGGGGAAAGCTGTATATATACAAAAAACAAACAAACAAAAAAACAAGAGTCAGATGCTCAACCTAAGGAGCCACCCAGGTCCCCCAACAGACTCTTAACTAGCTGATGGTCACCAGAGGGGAGTTGGGCTGGGAGATGGGCGGAAATAGGTGATGGGGGCGGGGAATACACTTATCACAATGAGCACAGGGTGATATATGGAACTCCGAATCGCTATATTGTACACCTGAAACTATCATTACACTGCGTGTTAACTAACTGGAATTTAAATAAGAACTTAAAAACTAAACTTAAAAAACAAACCACACCCCTCCCCTTCAAGGTGGTCAGTGAAAAGCTTAGCGCCACATCTGCAAGTATGTAGAACTTTACACGCTTTGTGATATTTGATGTAAATCTTTTCAAGCTGCCCTAAATCCTCTTGGAGGGGATATAAATAAATATATGTTAAGAAGAAGAATATTAATCTATAGCCTGTCAAAATAGTACTGTTGGGAAACCAGTCTCATGTATGGATGCCAAGAAAAAGAGAATGACTCTATGCCAAAAAGGAAGAAACAAATTAGCACCCACCCGAAACAAACAGGGATGTTTTAAACGCATACACTAAACAAATTAGCTTTATTTTTCCACAAGCAATTGGCTGCTTGCCTTAGAGCGTATAAGAAACAAATCACGGACCTGGGTTTCCAAGCAACTTTAATGTTTATTGCAGATTTTTTTTTTCCATTAAAAGTTAAGAACTAGATTGCCATTACGATGGTAAATTATAAAATAAAATGCAAAGCCTTTTAAAATTTCCGGTTGTATGGCTTATAATAATATTAGCCAAAAACATGATTTTTCTACTAAAACTGTCAGCGTTGGTTGGGAAGTCAAGAATCTCCACTCTCTCGAATTCACCCCTCGGGAGAATCAAAGGGTCACTTCTATACCCTTTCCCAGGGACCACTGCTGGAGTTTATACGAGAGAGGAAAGGAGGGGCACCTGGGTGGCTCGGTCAGTTAAGCGTCCGACTTCAGCTCAGGTCGTGATCTCACGGTCCGTGAGTTCGAGCCCCGCGTCAGGCTCTGGGCTGACACCTCAGAGCCTGGAGCCTGTTTCCGATTCTGTGTCTCCCTCTCTCTCTGCCCCTCCCCTGTTCATGCTCTGTCTCTCTCTGTCTCAAAAAGAAATAACCCTAACCCTAACCCTAACCTTGTCAGAATGAATCAGTTCGTTAATTATGATTTTTAACCCGACCTCTGGTCACTTGCATTTTTTACCTTCAGCACAACCTTTCAGCATCTTCCAGGAAACAATGTAAGAATGCGGAGATCACCTTTTTAAGGTTGATACAACCACAGCTCTTGCTGTTAAAGCGGCCGGAAGAAGGGAGGAGGACCAGAATCCTCCCCATTAATGCTCGGCCTAGAGTGTTACCTCCAGGCCTCTGCTAAAACAAAAGAGACGGAAAACATAATGAGAAAGCTATGAAGTCTCCATTCCATTCGAGACCATTTTAAGAAGAAAAGTGCAGGGTCGTGAATGGAAAGCAGAGGTAACGCGCAATCTTAGGGCACAGAAGCCGGGCCCGTGGTACACTATCATCGACGTTCAAATTTCAATCCGCTGCCCCAGCAGTGGGGTGAAGTCACGTCTTCTTTGCATATAAAGGAGAACACATCATAGTTTGGGGTTTTTTAATTAAAAAAACTAATAAAGTGAGCCGATACTACGGCAATGACACGGGGGTTCTGTATCAACAGGTGATCTGTAGTCTGGCTCA